TTTTTTTTTTGCCTGTTGCTTGTTTTATCTTTTTTTTCTTTTTCTCTCAACAGGTAATCCAGGAATTTTTTATTTTTTTTAAGTGCCCTTTCTCACTGTCCCTCTTCCCCTCTGTTTTTCTTTTCCTTCCTCTCTTTCTTTCTCCCTTTCCTATCTCCCAGCCATGTCTGTCCCGTCTGTAACAACTGAAAATAAAATAAATAATAACAACAAAGGTCAATCAAATGGACCAATATGGCAAAGCCGTGATGATCCACTTGGATAAATCCGTTGGGCATCTTTGTTGGCCTTCAGACAACAATTCTGATGGCTAAAGAATCAAATGGGACAGGCAAAAAAAAAAAAACCTCTAATAAGATTCAGTCCAATTACCCTATCTGAAACCTAACTCAGCTCTCAGAACAAGCTGTGTGTTTGTGGGTCTTTTGTTTATTATGTCCTTTTGTGCCAACTCTCCTCTCTAGCTGTTTATCTTTACTGATGGAGAGGTGGGGAACACCAAAGAAGTGATAGATCTGGTGAAGACTAATTCAGGTTCTCACAGGTGAAACCACAAAAACACAACTATATCTACACAATTTCCAGAATGTCCAACATGTGCACTGTGTACTCAGAGAAAACTGTTGTATTGCAGGTGTTTCTCTTTTGGGATTGGGGAAGGGGCCAGCTCTGCTCTCATCAATGGGATGGCCAAGGAAGGAGGAGGTCACGCTCAGTTCATCACAGGGACTGACAGGATGCAACCAAAAGTAAGACATTTAACACAATTATGAAGGAGGATAATAACACTATATGAAGGACTTACTAAACATACTTCACCAACTTGTAAAATATATTACATCATCTTATTTTGCTGGTTTGACTAATGGTAATAAACTTAATCCAATATTTTTGTTTGACACCATCAGCAGATTCCTTAATCTCCCTCAATCTGCTTCCCCTGCCATGTATTCCAGTGACTGCATCAAGTTTGTGTGTCTTCAACTGACTCAAATCTCTTGATCAGTTCTCTTCTCAGAGTTTAAACTAATTTTCTCAACATATCTCCTTGACATTATTTCACACACTTTTGTCCCATAAGTCCCATTATTGCACACGTTTTCCTGCCCAGTGGACATTGTCTGTCCTAAATTCATTAGCAGGTTCTACTTGTCATCTGTCCTTGGCTTTTCTCTATTATAAATCATTCCATTCATCTTACCCAGCGTCTTTCCTCTGGGGAAGACATCCCTCCTTAGATTCCACTGTTTTAGGTCATTATGGGCCAATTTCCAAAGTCTTTGAGAAAGTTGTTGCTTCTCAATCTGGTATTGACAAAACCACAGCACTGAAACAACTTTATTAAAAAAATAAATAAATTAAAAAATTGCTAATGGTATTCTTATGCACTCGGATAAGGGAAAATATTTCATTTTAGTCGTGCTTGACTTATCTGCAGACTTTGATACCACTGATCATGCTACTCTTATCACCAGAATACATAACTAGATGGCATCACTGGTACTGCTTGCAAATGGTTTTCTGCATATTTAATCAATGAATTCATATTAATCAATGTAGAGTGGTGTGAAAATGTGTTTTTCCCCCTTCCTGATTTTATATTTTTTGTCTATTTGTCACACTTAAATATGTCAGCTCATCAAACAAATTTAAATATCAGACAAAGATAACACAAGTAAACACAAAATGAAGTTTCTAAATTAACCAGTTTTATATTAAAGGGGAAAAAGTCCAAACCTACATCGCCCTGTGTGATAAAAATGATTGTGATAACTGGTTGAGCCACCCTTAGCAGCAACAACATTAAACCCAGTGAAGAGGTGGCAATATTAATTTTATCAGAACAAAAAGAGAAGCATTCCTGATATTTTGTTTAAGGAGTTTACACTTTACATGCATGAATGAGGATTTATCTATGAATGAGTTTCTGTGAACTTTTGTGTTTCTATGTTTTTAACTAGATTTTTGCATCTTTGCGCTCTTTTAATGTTCCTGTACTCATATTAGCTTTTAATTTGTATTTTTTATATTAAGTTATTTGCATTTTTCTGTACAATATTGATTATGTATCATGTTAAGAAATGTTGGGATTTCCCGCCCCTTCCCTTTTAATTTGTAGTGGTTTAGTCCAGAATCTATTTTGGCTGTAGCTTAACCAATGAACCAATACCACCTCGTTAATGTCAATTGGTCAGCTGGTTTATTTGTTGAGTTGTAATTGGTCCACTTGGAAATTCTTTTCTATCTTTTTCTGTTTCCTCATTTTTTCTTTATACATTAACTGTTGGACATTTTGCAACAACCCTGATGAAGGCCACAAGACAAAACACGTTGTTCACTTAATAAAGTTGTTCCCTAGAATCTTAAGCGTCGCTGGAGTCTCGGTGTCATCAGATCTTTGTCTTCTCCATGCACTTTGGAAGTTGGTGAAGTTGTGCCAGAAATATTTGTTGCTATCACTGTTCACCAGTGTCCCGTGTTATTGCCATTTGTGGATAATGGCTTTTACTGTGGTTCGCTGGAGTCCCACAACTTTACAAATGGCTTTCAACACTGACAGATCTAATTACTTTGTTTCTCATATGTCCCTGAATTTTCTTGGATCACAGCTTGATATCTGGCTTCTGAATATCTTTTGGCCTACTCCACTTTGTCATGCAGCTCCTATTTAAGTGATTTCGTCATTAAGAACAGGTGTGGAAACAGAAACTGAACTCAGCTTTCCAAAGATGTGATACACAGCAGGTCATTTCTGGGCCGTATAGGGTTTTTTTTTTCCTCTCTGACTTTGAGGTGATCATACTTTTGAGGTTGTGGTGCCCAAACCCTGGAATAGTCTTCAGCTTATCAGGAATTTTTGTAATTGTTTTAAACGACTGATGAAAGCACATTTTTATTGGTTAACTTTCCCTTAATCTTTTCCTCTCTATTTTGGGCCATAGTTTGTATGTTGGAATAAATGTTTGACTGTAAGGTTGATTATGTGTCTGTTTATGTGTATGTTCAAACATGCATAATAATATTTAATATGTGGTTGTTAATCAAAAACTGAAGTGCTATACATATAGAATAAAAGTAATGATGTCAAGTTAAACACTGAAGCAGCAAATTTGGAGAGTTTTTCTTTATTTTTCAGGTGATGCAGTCACTGCGATTTGCTCTGCAGCCGGCTGTGGTCGACGTCTCAGTCACATGGGATTTACCAAAGAAAGTGTCTGTCACTGTCCTCTCTCCACCAATCACAGCACTTTTCCAGGGTCAGAGGTCACTGATTTATGCCCAGCTCAGTGGACAGGTAGGAGCAGCAGCCTCTCATGTTGTTGTTTAGGTATTTGATGACAGTAATTAACGTGACTTCTAACCCTGTGATTCTGTGTCAGAGCTCAGAGGCAGCAGAGGGCTGTGTGACGGTGAAGTACAGCCTGGCAGGTCATCCCTCTGAGAACCAGCTGCACTTCAGTCTCAGTCCTGCAAAGGACACTGGGTAAAACAGTTGAACACAAACAGCACACTTCTGTTTTGAAATGCGAGTGTTGAATTTAAAACAATATTTTCAGAAACATAACTCTATTTACCTCTGCTTACTAGAAAACAGTTAATAATACACAGACCTAATGGTTTTCGTCTAGTTTTAAACATGTTTCACTTTTTCTAATCTTATTTTCTTGGATTAGGGGTATCATAATATCTAATAGTATATGATTACTGATCACAAACATTTAGACATGACAGAGGAATCTCAGTCCGCAGTTTCTGGGAAATCAAGGAGACATTTTTTGACCTTAAGTGAAAAAAGTACTGTGCAACAATCTGCCATTTTTACTGTAAAATACACGAAGAGCAAACAGCTTGACCCACACAGGTACCTCTCCAACAACAACTAATTTGTGCCCTCAGTGCCTCATTTTGTAAAGCATGACAGTCATAGTGTTTGTTTAGAGAAGAAAACATAGTCTGTCTGACCTTTAGAGGCAAATCTGTCAGAAGCAAAAAGGAATCTATGCAAGATACTGTTAGGACTCCTTTAGCCTGATAACTGGGGTTAAGTAGAGAAAGACGCAGTACATCTGTCTGGACTATTGATCACTATCCTCTGTCAATGCGAGTGATATAAACAGAAAATATAGCACAAAGGTAAGTGGTAACTTTATTCCATAATAGATCTTGAAAATATAGCCACTGGCAATACTGCTTCATTATCTTTAAAAAGCATTTTTGGACTTAAATAGCAAAATAACACCTACATTTTACAGTAAGTTCAACACACTGTTATCTATGTTTATCAGATTCTCTTTAAAAATTTTAAAATTTCTTTTTGCTTTCTTAACATTGTCTCCATGAAGCCCAGTGACACAAATCAATAGATCAAACTACAGTCATGTCTTTAAGACATCAAGACCTTGGTGAACTCTAATTTCCTGCTTCTAAATTCAGACTAAACTGATGTTATGAGATGAGATAGCCTTTGTTTGTCAGTTGCAGGTCTTTTGCCCACAACCGAGATGACAGACCTTGCCGACCGTACATACAATACACAAACATCACATTGGGGAGACAGGTCAGGCTAGGTAGCGAGAAAAAACAAACAAACATCGAAATGTGTAACACAGAAGGTTTTTTTCCTCGTTACCTGGCCTGACCTGTCTCCCCAATGTGATGTTTGTGTATTGTATGTACGGTCGGCAAGGTCTGTCATCTCGGTTGTGGGCAAAAGACCTGCAACTGACAAACAAAGGCTATCTCATCATCATCTCATCAATCTTCGACTGTGCCTCCAGCTGACCCGATGTCCACATCATGGGGGAGGTAAGCGTTGGAGGTGGCGTTGGATAGGGAGGGTGATGCGTCAGTGAGTGCTTATCAGTATATGTATGTGTGTGCGTGTCCATAGTTCAGTTGAGACAGTGTCCTTCGCCCCGCCAGGCTAAGTAAACGGTCTTCCAGCCAACCCAGGTGGCCTTG